TTGGTAACTAATCGTCGTGCTGAATCATGCTATGCGTTTTGCACGGGGATCGCACTGTTTGTTTATTGGCTGTCAATTGTCAATTGGCTGTTGGCCCTATTGGCTATTGACAATGGATTCTCGACCCAATGGCAAACCGGTGGATCAATAAACAAAACAAGAACTAGTTTTTTTTTCTCCATAAGAACAGTGTCGCAGCTCTATCGGATCCCTCTATCAAGTATCCAGTGTGCTAGCAACTCGTACCGGTGGAAAACACGTGGATGTTTGTTACATTGTTTAAGTTTTAATGTTTGAGGATTTGAGGAAAGTGTCAAGCAAAACGCATATGACGGCATATGCCTGTGAGACCCCTCCTGGGTACTTGAGTGAACGATGGCGACGCACGCGCGTCCAAAAAAAAAACAGCCACAAGGCTCAGACTATCACGACATCATAGGATTTTACAGTTTACAGTTAGTTTCAACATTCATTCAACTTCACCATCGCCAAAGTCCAAGACAAACTCCAGGTGGGGTCCATCCATCACTGTGGATTGTTCAGTAGATGTTGACCTACAGAACCAAGTGTTTCGCGTTTTTGTTGACACGAACACGCTTGCTAGCTTCAGACGATCCACCAGCTGAATTCGAAGCTTTCATTGCAGCAGTCCCTCCGAGCATCACCTTGTCCGACCCAGCCAATGACGCGGCATCAAAGGATCGCTTGGTGCCTCGTTTGGAAGATTTGCAATCTTCGTATGGCCTGAGCGACAAACAAAGGGAAAACATAGGCCATGGGCTAGCTATGTGTCAACCAATCAATTCAAAACATATAGAATCTATAGAGCGGAGTGCGGACAGATTCAGAGATTTATGTAAAATGCGCAATGCAATGCACATCAATCCGTCAAAGAGTTCTGAGTTCAGCAGTGGTGACTCAGTTTTTACTTGATTCGAGTCTATATATATATATATATTATTAATATTATATATAATATATATATATAAATTGTTAAGTTGTTCCTGTTCCTTTATCAAACCAACCCTGGGCCCTGGGCCCTGGGCCCATGGGCCCATGGATGACTCTCTTTTGTTTTCTATATATAATTATTTTACATTTTTACACCTGGCCCTAACCCCCTTTGGTTCAAGGAGCAAATGATCACGGACCAGTACAGCGTAGACCTTGTTGCCAATCTTCTTCACAACCACAGCTGTGCCAGGGTGGTCATTGAACTTCAAGTATGTCTTCTGATACTTCACTGTGTAGCCTTGAAACTGGACCTGTGAATACAGCCCCACGTGAGTGTCCTGCTCCACAACCAACGTTGGATGTTCCACATCGGATGGTGGAATCATCCACGCCGGACATACAACCTCTCCATCAGCGGAATGATATTGTTGACCAGAAAGCCAACATGAAATGCCCACAGGATCCTCTGCCAATCGTAGAGGCACACCTGGAAACTGTAAGCAACATACTGACATAAAACTTGCGCAAGTTCCAGGTTCCAAACAAACAAATGTGGATTGGCTTCGGCTTCGAATCAAAGGTTGACTAGAGAAAACATTATTGGTGATTTGGATCACTACGGCTACGGGCTTTAGCCAGATAAAACATATCAAAAAAACAGCCTAAAGTCAAATTTCAGTGCGACTCCTCAAAAGACACCACAGAATGAACTGGTGCGTTGTTTTCGACAATATCTTGCCTATGGCTGAGCCATCACTGTTGGCAACCTCCATGCCAAGGTGGTAGATGATCTTTGGAAGCTTTGCATTTGGAAAGCTCGGTGGATGTGTGCCTTGGTTAGTGAAGAGTGAAGAGTGAAGATGATCCGCTAGAGCCACTGGCCAAGTTATGTCCAAGTTCCATTGGAAAGGCAGGCTGAAAGGAAAACAAAATTCAAATGATTTGACGTGACAGACTGTGTAGAGTTCAAAACTGTTGAACGGAGTTCTTTCTTTCTTGTTTGTGTCACTTTGTGTCTGCAAAGTGTTAGCGATTGAACTTGCGTGCACGGTGCAAACATCTCCCCAGAAGTGAGTTCTAAATTTCTCCCGGAACTCCTGGGTCATCACGTTCTCCAAAAACTCCTTGACAGGCTCGTTTTCCTTCATGTCGCCAATCATATTGAGGATGTACTCAGTTGATTCCAACTCGAGCAGCACATCCGTTGATGTCAAAATTTTGTTGCCCTTCTCCTGCCGGTTCACATTGAAGACCACAGTAGCTGCGGAGCCAGAATCAGAATCCAATTTCCTGTCCATGACAGGACATGGATGTGTTGAAGCCGCCTGGTGTTTGAATCAAAGGATGTGATGACAGCAGTAGTGATGTAGTGGCAGTTGATCTACAAGATGCACATACATACACTTACATACACAGTAGTGACAGTGACAAGTAGGAAGTAGAACTAGTGAACTAGTGTATATAATATATATATATATAGTATATAGGCTATGAGTCTATGAGTCACCTAGGCAAGTACAACATAATGGACATAGTAACATAGTACATAGACGAACACAAAGAAACCAAACACACACACATCAAAACAAATCAACCAAACATGTTTTAAAGAAATGCATACTGACTGACTGGTTGTATATGTCTTAGTTTTTCTATTTGTCCACTGTCATGTCATGAGTCATTTGTGTCATTTGTTCAAAGTGTTGAAGTTACCAGTTACCACCTGTCACGATTGCCATTAAATGCCTGAATATTGGAGACACAAAAACACAAAGAAACAATGAAGTATGAATCAAAGAACGAGAAGATGCGAGATAACTAGAGACTAGAGGTCCTGCAAGTCAAAGTCATGTCGGCAGTGAGGGTTGCTCTCAAAGCCATCAATGCCTCTGATGATTTCAATACCGTTGAAACGTCGCCTTCCTTCTTGAAGTCCTTCTGAATTCCATATTCGCTGAGCCGTTCTTGAGATGTCAGCGTGCCGTCAAGGGAGTCAGTGAGGTCTGTCTTCTCATCCACCTTCGCTTTCTCCTCTTTGGCAGCAGGCACAGTTACCACATCGGTCACATCTGCAATCTTGAAGGACCCGTGTTTGATCAAAGCTTGAATGGCCGCTCCATAGACAGCAGCAAGGGTCCCAGCATCACATAGATTGCAAATCATGTCCATTTCATAGAGCAGTGACACATGCTTCTTGATGCGATCACGCAAGTTGATCTGTGAGTACATCGACCGGTTGGCGAGATTATCCAACAACAACTGGATCATGTACTCAGCTCTGAGATGGATCAGCTTCGTAATGGTGACCGGCTGCAAGACTGAGGTCAACATCGCATGTTTCTGATGTGAAGTAATCTCTTCAGGCAGACCTCCCTTGTTTTCGCTTTGAAATCTGAAGAGCTTGAAGCCAAACGCAATCACAGCAGGCTTGAGCTCAGAAATCACCAAATGGCTCAACTGGAAGATGATTTCGTTCACATCCACATCCTGCTCTTGATGTACAATGCATGAAGATGCGTGGATCCTGCATGGCAAGTGCTCCAGCTCTACTCTGACACCCTGGCCCTAGGGCAGAGCGCCCTAGGCAGCCATACATACTTTGCTGACTCTACTTGTCCAGAGTCTAGATACTATTAGATACTAGATGCTTGTGTTGTAATGTAAATAGCTATGCAATTGGACTGTCCTCCTCTCACCGCAGCTGCAACCGGTCGTAGTCCAGGAGTTTGCAATCATATTGAACGCCAAATGCCGTTGCACACCAAGCTCCTCCGAAGGATCTAGAGGATTGTCATGTTTCATGGCATTACGTTCAACGGAGAACCACTCCAGGAAGGCATCAAGCAAAACCTCCCACGAAGACGCACTGACCGCTTGCAAAGGCTGACTGGAAGTAGAAGTGGAAGTGGCACCAGTGCTGGCAGACGAGGTCACATTGAGCAACGCATCGCTCAACCCACATGCAGTTTGCAAAGCATCTGAACTCATTCCAAGACCAGAAGACACCACCAACGTATTGCTAGCTCCAACAACCTGCATTGGCGTTGGTTCGTGCAAGAGTGTTGCTACTGCAACCGACACAAAACAAAAATCAAAAAGCATTGGTATTGGTATGTGTCTGTTAGTTTACTGCTGTTGGAGTACGAAGGGTGTCCACTAAATTCTACACAAACAACGTAACCTTGACCCTAAATGTCAAATGTTTATGACTATATATATATAGATTTAGATTCAGGCCTGCTTGTAGCTTTCGATGATGTGAGACTGCAGGGCAGGTCGCAGGCTAGACCACTTCTTGTGCACTTTGCCATTGAACATATGAGATCCCTGCAGCGCAAAGATCAAACCAGCTCGCACATGAGGCCGCATGATATTGATCTCCTCATCCGTGTACTTGAAGGGATCGCTGGCTGTGTCAGGGATCAAATCTTCTTCCTCTACACCACGAGGCAACCCAAACTTCTTTCGGGCTTCTTTGATTGCATTTCTGATGCCCAAAATCAGACAATCTGCAAAGAGCTTGGGACGTGCCACCATAGCACCACCAGTGCCTGTCAAGGTAACAGACTCGGACTCCTTCTCATCCTCAGGCAAATCACCATTTGCCTTGCTTGGAGCAGCCTTCGCCTTCGCCTTGGCTCCAGACTTTGCTTTCGCAGCCGCCTTTGCTGCGGCTTTTGCTTTCTTTTGCTCCTTCGCCTCTTTTGCTGCCAAGTCCTCACTGAGAACTTGTTGTGGATCTTTCACTCCTTTACGCTTCTCCTTCTGCACCCGTATCTTTCTTTGAACCTCAAACACCTTTCCATCAACTGGTGTGAGGATCAATGAGATATCTTGCGCAGCGGTTGCTGGCTTCCGTAGCAACCAAGGAATGTCGGTGTCATTGAAGGGAATCTAGGTCGCCAATACACCACAAACCACCATGTCATTCCCCCCCCAAAAAAACTTTAATTGTTTTATATTTATCATTTAGCTATCTACTATATCTACCTATATGCCTTGTCATGTTCCAGCTCCAAGTGCCTAAGGCTTAGCACACCTAACACTTACGACTCAACGCTTTCACAGTTAGGTCGGACAAAGTTTGTATAAACATGGCAAGTGTCGCACAAGCAGAGGGCTTCGAGAACAAGCGCTTGCTTCTCTGAATCCGCCATGATGTTGAACACTTGCGGAAGGGCTGTGAGGACGTCCTTCATCACGAAGATCACCGCATCATGAGCTAGCTCTTGATGCAAGAAGTCACACTTGTCCGAGACAAAGGTTTTCAACTCCACAATGCACCCCACTTTAGACAGCAAGTTGTATAGCTGACGTGTAGCTTCGAACGCACGGAAAGATGACCACGTGGCAGGATACTGAGATTGCAACATCTCCCTGTACTTTGTCTCATAGTCAGACTGTCTTGTAGAGATGCCATTTGCGAGCTTGAAGTTTTGCCAGCATCGCTCAACCTGAACAATGTAGTAGTAAAAGAATATGCTAAGTATTACACCCCAACAAAAAGAGCCCAAATGTGGTGAGTGACAGAGCAGTGACCAGTGGGTGCATAAACGGTCTTTCAAAAAGGTTCCAAGATGGAAGAGTAAGTAAAGCTCTGACGTGATCATCGGCCCTGCCTCAGGGACTTTGAGCACCATCTCCATGAAGGATGTCGGCGCACCCTGGTGGAATGCGTTGCGATACGTAATCCTTGGAAGGATCACTGGGATAGCTCCAGCCTTCACGAAATGTTTCTGCTCACTACACTCACTACTCACCACACTGGTTTTTTACTTTGAAATTGGTCAGCCACTTTCAGACCTTACCTGGTAACCTTACAAAGCCTTACCATTACCAAATCTGTATCAGCCGTTACAAAGAACCATCATTCAGGCTGATGGAGCCCTGGGGCTGTCGCAGTCGCATTGCACTGAGTTTGTTAACTTGAGCTATGGTATGTTGTAACTGCAATGACATGAGACAATATGAAATGATTTATGATAATACACATTACGTTGAATCGTTGAGTGTGCAGTGTACTGTACAGTACAGCCTACATGTTTTGTTTTTTTGAGTCTGGGTCTGGGTCATAGAGTCCCAACTACAAACATAATGCAATGCAAAGGCAGAGGTGCAGGAACTGCAAAACAGATTGAGGTGTTCGGTAATCAAAGACAATCACATCCAAGCCATACTTTGCGGTGATCAATAAGTTCGGAAAGTTCTCTCGATCTGCCGATTCATAGGCCCTGTAAAAAGCTTCGCTCCTTAGCTGTGAGTCTGGACACCCAAGGACTTGCGCGAGAGAGAGATGATCTATGTGGTTAGCGGGCCTAGCGGATGGCGGTTCCAATGTAACTTGGTCTTTAAAAGAAGCTCACGCTGGCATGGCAAACAAAACCAAGACAAACAAAAACGAAAACATTGAAAACAACGCGGTGGCAAGACGATGACGGCATGATGATATGCTATGAGAAGACTCCAACACACCACGTCAACGATATTCTTTCGATATGAATTGGTAGGTACAGGTTACATACGGTTACATAGATATGACAAAAAAAAGTTGTTTCTTTTGAATTGAATGAAGCTAAGCCACAGCGTGGCAAATGTCAGGGCCAAATAACTTGTCTCACCAGAATCTGTATCAGGAGCTTGAAGCCAACATTCGCCCCTCACTCCACGTACGATTCCCTTTTGCTGCACGGACTTGGTATAGGTGGCCAAAACAGTGTCCTGTCTCCGATTGTTGAGAGGATGCCGCGAAATCATCCGCTGCGTCCCCTGGTACCAAGGCAATGTCTTGTTTGATGGCACCTGCAGTGGCAGAAACAGCATTATCGACATTTCCAGGAGGCCTGAAACCATGCGTTTGTGTGACTGTGACTGACTCATACTCAGACCCAGGCTGAAGTGATTATGTACAAACCCTCAAACCCTCAGCCATCAACAAGTAGCTAGTCATCCACTCAGCGACATTATAACTCCGGTCCAAACTGTCGACTCCGTGAGATGAATGTGTTTGTGGTGTGTGATTGTATGCGAGTCTTCTACTTGCGCGTAGTGGCGTAGTAACACTTGCTTGCAGCCTACATTTTACGGCTAAAGTACAAACCATGTGAGTGTGTCTGAGCGTGTGGTGTTATAAAAGTTTGTTCCTTTTTTAGTGCTGTGGTGCATTGCATCAACATTGGTGGTTGTTCCGACGTCCGAGTATAATATGAACCGTTTCATCCGCGCCTTGTATGTCTTCATGATCGCGTCCAGCAGCTCTCTCCCGGGAACCACATGTTTACCGCCAAAGATCTGTGAGAGCGTGGCATCCTTTTGGTATTGATATGCGGGCTGCACCTCAAAATCTCCGGTACCACCATTGCCGCCATTGCCGGCCGGACCAGCCTGAGCACCTGGAGCACTTGCAGTGGGGGCATCTGGAGTAGGAGGCTTAGGAAGGCCCTGAGGAGCAGCCATCATGCAAAAGTGCACTAGGCACAGGGGAATCGTCTGAAGAACCACTTTCGTGGCGCTCGCTCCAAGCAGAACACCGGAAAGCTGACAGCTACGGTAAAGGAAAGGAGACCAAGGTTGATTCAGGGCAGGCAAGCAGGCAGGTCAAGATGTTTCTGGCTTCAACGTTTTCTTTCATTCATTCAACTCAATCTTGATCACGCTAACCGACTATACAGTTAGTTAGGTGTCATGTGTCAAACGTGTGTTTGCTGGCTCTCAAACCAAACGACAACACATGCTGCCAACACCAATGAATCATCATTTGTTGAATCATCGACTGACAACACAGTGAAAACAATAGCGACAGCAGTGCACTGTTGCACAAACAAAACATATATTATTTTGTGGCATTACAAAAACAAACAGCTCTAGAACTTCCTACTCCATGACTCCATAGCTACACAACTCGTTGAGTTTGAGATGTCGTTTTTCGATCCAACTGCCCCCACAAATGTGTCCACGGTTCACGTGTCAATTGCACGCTAGTGCAGCGTCTGTGCTCGAATTGGTGTATCAACACTATTGCCTTCCCAAAGCATGGGCCCACTGTAGCTGCCCATTCATTTGTTTAAAACAAGATGATAACAAGGATAGTAACAGCCTGTAACAGCAACCGTCAAAGTAGATTCCAATAATGCATGCTGCATGCTGGCTTGTAGTTAGTTAGTTGTGTATTGTGTATCTGTATTATAGTTATGATCAAAAGTCTAATTATATGTTTTTTTCAGTGTTTCAATATTAACTTGAAAACACATAGTCACATAGTCAAGAACAAATATAATGACTCATGACCAATGACCAAGGAATGAATCATCGAAGGCTTGACTTGATCTGGCGCGGGTGTCGCTTCAGCATCATGTGATGCTTCAGCATCATCAACAAAGCCCCATCCACACGGATCTGTGTGAGAGCAAAGAGCCAAACAATTCCTGATATATTGGTGTGCATGCTGTTGCCCGCCATCTTGAAGATGTGTGCCCGAGTTGGTTTGATCTTCAGGGAGGATGCCGTAGTGGGTCCATACAGCTCTTGCAAGGCAATGCGTTCGCTGTTTGAAGCATTGTCGTATTGGTGTCTGATTGCAAAGCTGCAAGCGGCACGACCAAGCGAATGCGTGATCCTGACAGGGAACCCCTGGAGCATAAGTGCCTCATCCGGAGTCAGCCAACGGCGATGAAGTCCTGAATACCACAAACACGCCGATGACACCAGAGTAGGCATCACCTTCAGCACAAAAGACCAATCAATCGGCTGTCAGACTGAGTGACGACACAATGAATGCCCAAATTTGTCATCATCATCATCATCATCATCATCATCATCATCATCATCATATGTCATTATCTTCATCTTCGCCACCACATCACCACCATCATGATCAAAATAATTGAATCTTTGAGACTGACTGACTGGACGACTGGCTGTTAGGCTGTTTTATGTAAAATCACAAAAGTATGAAACCCTGAAACCCTGAGGAGCGTGATCATCTGACCACAGACCTAAGTCTTTTGCTATGTTCTATTTACAATGTTACGATGTTTATGACTCTTGCTCATAAGGCCAATGTCCAAAAGTTCAAGTTAATGCATTGCATTGGCATGGTTCAAAAGAAACTTATGAATACACATTATGTTTGGTAACTTGTTAACTTGACAAAATAATCTAAAACACAATGACAAAGATTGCTCATCAATCTACCCATTTACTGACACATCATCTTATTCTCTTATTGTCTATTGTGTCTTTCGTACAGTGATCCCGTCTAGCTACTCAAAAGCGAAACCGCGCCTGAGAATTTGAGCACATGTTGGTCACGCTTGGGTTTTGGTTCAGGCTGTAGATCCCTTGTGGTGTCGAGAACTCGTAGTCTTTCAGAAACCTCCGTTCATTCTCTGTCAATGTCTCCTCGAAACTTGACTCGTCAACCATTGATGGTTTCTGGTCATCGTCATGATCCCGCTTCCACATGCTACAGGGACGACTGGAAGCCCAATCCAGCTCTGCCTGAAGCTTTGATTCATCGTTCCTGAGTGAAACGAAACACAAACAGTGCTAACCAACCAACCAGATGTTGTGTGGGGTGTAGCCTTAACATCATTTGCTAGGCTACTGGCTACTTAAGAATTCCTTTACACCTTTGGCCCTGACCCTATCACGCCTCTATGACCTTGAACGTTCAGCATTCAGTGTTGAAAAATCACAGAGTGTTGAGCCATTGAGAAACAATGAACACTATGCTGCTCTTAGGCTCTCAGTCGCTGCTGTTTGCTTGCTTTGGATATGATCGATCCTATACAATAACTTGCATGTTTTTTTGGGTGTGAGTGTCGGCATATGTTACTGAAGTTGTTGTCGCTGTCGCGCTGTCGCTGTCGTTGTTGTTGTTGTTGCTGGTGTTGTTGTTGTGGTGGTTGTTGTTACATTGTTGGTGTTTAGTCAGTGTTTTGTTGTTAGTTGTTTTTGTGTCTGTATATATATATATATATTGTTAAACTGTTGAACTGTTGAGTTGTTGAGTTGAATGGCATTATGAGCTTTAAAAAAACATCACACATGACGCATGGACGCATGAAGCAAAGCTGAACTTGTGCTTGTGCAGTGAAGACAACATGTTAACATTCCCTCCGTCCCTCCTTCCCTCCGACCCTGCATCCAAAATTCTCCCAAAAGAACATTGACCAACTTGCATTTGGCCCAAGGCTGCGCGAAAACATCGAACTGAAGCTCGAAAGAAGCGTGCGAAATCCCAGGGTCTTGGTCTTGTGTCGGCCACTTAGTTGGAGACACCAATAACAATGCATCGCAGCGTTTGAAGCGCACAGTACACACTAGTACACACACAAGGAATCACAAATCACAAGGAAAAAGATTCAAATCTCCAACGGTCTCGGTCTCATGGTGTCATGGTTGTTGAAACAGGTTTACTTTATTACTACTAGTGTCAGTGTTGAGTGAATCAAGCAATAGTACTAGTACTAGTACGTACATTCAAGCATACATGCTTGACTTCATGTGACACTTGCACTTGATTGCGTTGTAAGTTGTTTGGCGTATACAATCATTGGCGAGGTGCATCATGAACTGGCGTTCCCTCCGTATGGGCCAGCCAAACTCGGAAGGGTCGAGTACCGCAAAGACCCATTCGTACATTGGCAACATCATTGTCAGACACTCTCGAGGGAATGCCGTCACGTTCTCCTGAACCACTATTGGCTCTTGGAGTGTGGCTCGCTGTCCACACCACACAGCAAAGTGTGCATGCGACATCGCTGACTCACCCTGTCCATCGCCAATCGCTGAAAACCCACAACAAGTTGTGCCTGCAATGTGAACATCGGCTACCCTGTTCGCAATGGAGCACGTCTTGCCATGCTTGACACACCAGGATTCCCTGACAGCGCATGTCATATAACAAAGCTTTCAGACTAGTATATACATATAACAAACACACATACATATACAAAGGACTCAGGACAACATTTGTATGACTCCTGAGTCATATCGATAATAACATAAAGGAAAGGCAAAGCCAAAACATTAAAAAGTAAAAAACAAATGTGTTTGTTTCAGGCAAGTGTCATGATAATTGCCTTGTGTGGTGTATCTCGCACAACTGGCATCAAAACTGACGATAACTGATTTTTCTCATGTAGATCAGGGAGCTGATGTCTCAAAAGCGGATGCAGGAAGTATGTAATGTCGCCAAAGATGCATTCAGCACTTCCTGGATGCAAACGAAGTTCATGCTGACATGAGTCCTCCCATTCAATTGCAAACAGATGCTGTGGATGTTCAACCTGCAAACCATAGCGTTCAGTCAAAGCTCCAATAATCTGCAAGACAGCTGTCCCTGGTGAATCAATTCCAGAATAGGCTGTGCTCATTGTTGTGATGGACATTCGATGCGCAAGAGCTTGCAGCGAAGATAGCTCATCAGCATTCATTCCAAGCGAAGCAGCCTGAGCAGCTACATCAGCTTCATCCAACTCAGAAAGCAAAACCCTGCTTGAATCATCGCCATTGAGAGCGGGCATTGAAGCATATGTCTGGCAAAGGAACGTAGGCCATCCTGGTATTGTGTCACAGTGTCACTGCATCACAAACAAACCTAGAGCCTTGGCCTTAGACTAGTGACTTAGACCGACTCAGACCCTACTAGAGACCCTGACCCTAACAACAAAATCAGAATGAATTTAAGTCAATAATTTAAGTCACTGAATATGTCATTGTGATGCTGCACAAATTTGAGGCTGAAACAAAGGACCAGGAACCATGATTACAATTCTTACTACGGCTGATGGTTGCCTGATTGAAATAAAATGAATTTGAATTTTGGTTTATTTGGAGGTTGAGGTTGAGGTGGATTCGTGAATTCAGAACATGAGGAATAATCAAGGCAAGTTTCCGTTTGCGTCATGTAGATCATTCACGGTGTTTGAGACTCTGTCTGCAGTGGTTTGGTTGATCGTGTCAAACCTTGTACTCCTTGTACTCTGCTTTGCACATGTCGTCGCCGTCGCTGCATCTGCAGCTGCATCAGGTCCTGAGATTTGTGGTGTCTCTGCAGCTGCATCCAGTTCTGGGATCTCTGGTGTCGGTGTCTCTGCAGCTGTGTCAGCTGTGTCAAGTCCTGGGATCGTGGGTTTCTCTGCGGCTGCAGCTGCATCAAGTCCTGTGATCTCGAGTTTCTCTGACTCTGACTCTGGTGTAGAAGTAGTTTCTTCTTTTCGACAAAGTTGAGGTTCAGTTCCAGGTTCATGTCGATCAGGCTGATCAGGCTGTTCAGGAATCGGTTCAGGCGGTTCAGGCTGCTCTTGTTCACCGTGTCGGCCAGATGTGATGTCCTCCTGACGCTGAGGCTATAACGGCTATGACTATGACTCTGGATTGGTTGGTTAGATAAGGAAAGGAAATACTATACAATAGACTATAGGCATAGGCGTAGGCGAACCATTACAGAG